GATATCTCACTGGTAAGGATCAGCAGTCTGGCATGCATCTCAGCTATGCATTCATCAGGTAGAAGTTTGAAGTCATCAAACTTCTTCATAGCTATTGTCAGTTTGTTATCTCTCTCTTGTTCATCACCAGCTCCTATGAGATCGAGTTTGTCCCATATTTCTTTGGCAGTTCGACACTTCTTGATTCTGTTGAAGTATCTGTTATCAATGGCCTTGTAGAGGATGTCCTTGGCAATATTGTCAAGATTGTACTGTCTCCTCTCTTCCTTTGTCCATTCTGATCTGGCTTTCTCAATCATCTCGGGCTGAGTTTTGTCAGTAGTATGCTCAGTATTCACCTTCATGAATTTGGTGAAGGGTCCTTCTTCAAGAACTTCCCACATTTCATCATGAAGAGCACAAAGGTGTGCTTTCATTCGGATCTTCCAGTCATCATACTTCTGATCTGAAAACATGAGGTGCTTTGCAAGAGAGTTATCCATAATAAGTATTAAGAGAGGCTAAGAACAAGTGGATCTTTGTTCAAGGAGTAACCTAAAAGATTACAAGAACAAGGAGGCTCTGATACCACTTGTTGGTCCCGTTTGAGTTGGTAATCAGTCTAGGGGGGGGGGGGTGAATAGACTGATTCAAGTTTTTCAACTTTTCTCTAAGTCAGAGTTGACTTATCAGAGAGGGTCGAGTTCTGATGATCAGAACTGGTCTTGCAGCGGATAAGAGTTCCGGGTAGCCTCAAGAGAAACTATGGCAAATGCCTTTCTGATAACTCTGAGAACACGATCTGCTGAACACAGAGTCTAAGTTCTATGGAGTTAAACAGTTCAAGTCCTAAGTGCAGAAAATAAAGTGCAGTATAGTAAATGACACCGGGGTTTTTATAGTGGTTCAAGGAACAACGCGTTCCTCTAGTCCACTGTTCCACTAAGTTTGTAAAGCGTCAGTTACAAAGCCTTAGTTTCCTAGCACTTAAGAAGCTCTCCACGTCTTCTTCAAGCCTAGTTGCCACCCAGGATGCAGTTCCACGTCCTGATGGCTGGTCCTTTCACTCAGCTTCCCGGAAGTATCACCACTTCACTACTGCAGTTACTTGGACGCCCTTCTTTGCAGAAGATGTTCTGAAAACAGAGTTTTCTCTAACTTGCTTCGTTACAAAGGATGTGTAGTTGAAGTTCTTGAAGGTTGAAGAACAGAATGAACTTTGCTGTGTGTTGGGATTGGAGGATATGGATATTGAATCTTCCCAACGTAAGCTTGTCTCTTGTTGATGATTGTAGAGTTTGAATCTCAAGAGAGCTTTTTGAATGTTGAGGTGAGCAAAGTTGTAGCAAAGTTGTTCAGTTGTTCTTCATCGAGTATCTTTTATACTGGGGCTGTCTGCCCGTTGGAGGAGGAGACAACTGCATTGAATGCGCATACTGTGGATTTGACTAGTTGGACCCGCAGTTTTGGCAGGTTTCTATTTTTGTATAATATTCTCCAGGAATCTCGGCCAATCATCTGCAATTACTCCACAACGTATCAGGCTCATTAAATGAGCATTAAATGCTTTCCTTAGATGAGATATCTTCTTACCGTTTGAAGATTCCCTGATCGTTGAAAGCAGCTTCGAAATCTTCTAAGTGTTCGTCCAAGTCTGATGAGATTCTCTGATGAAGTTCTGACCTTGGATTCTGATGAACTTAGATACTTTACTGGAGTTGAATTCTGATGAAGCTTTTTCATCGAACTCTGATGACATTCTGATGTAGACTTCTGGTGAGTTTCTGAAGAGCAACTCTGATGCTTCTCTGATGAGCAACTCTCATGACTTTCCGAGAGCGACTCTGAAAGCAGTTCTCATATAGTAGCTCTGATCAGATCCACTTAGCAATTCTGATAGTCGAATATACTAATACTTACAACTGAAAATTCTAATACATAAAATCTAAGTAGGGGTACTCTAAAATTTCTAATATCCTAGCATCATCAAAATCTAATTACATTTATTCCTTACAATGGGCCAAAATGGGACTCACTGATCGGCCTACGCTTGGGGATGATGCATTGAGCACCTAAACAGTAGTAGGCAAGATAATATATCCCAACACAAGTCCCCCAGTTTCTTGAGTAGTGAACATGGAAATGTGCTTCCTTTGCTCGGGAAATTATACTATTGCTCATGTTCTTCCTTTGTCTTCCTTCTTCGAGTGGTCCTGCTAAATGAGTGGGTCTTTCCCCCTCTAAATATAATATGCCAGTAACACACTCTCCCTCCCGATGGGATCAAGCGAAGGATGCTCTCCCCTGGGCGTTCCCCACCTCACTGTATCAGATGAGTGAAAAGGACTCCGACTCGGCTTGCAATAGACCCCTTTAATCCTTTATTGACATGCACTGATATGTTGAATGACATAAAAAAAGATGAACAAAATGTATGTGTGTATGAATGGATGTATGAGTGCAATGTATGAGAAATGATATATACCCTTTGCATCAGACACGACAATGTTGAGGGACCAGTTGTGCTGCATAATATGGAAGTCGTTGTCTTAGAAAGGAATAGGCGATCCCGACCATGAACCAGAAACGACGGCGCTAAGGGGGAGATCATGCTTCATAATACGACGGTTGGCGTCCTGGAAAGGAATAAACGAGTCTGGTTTTGAACTAAACACGACGGCGCTGAGGGGCCGATCATGCTACACAATACGGCGGTCGCCGTCCTGGAAAATGATAGGCGAGCCTGACCGTGAACTAGACATGACGACGCGTAGGGGCTGATCGTGTTGCATAATACGGCCTGGAAAAGAATGGGTGAGCCCGACCGTGAACTGGACATGACATCATTAAGGGGCTGATCATGTTGCATAGTACAACGGTCGCCATCTCGGAAGGGAATGGGTGAGCCCGACCGTGAATTAGACACGACAACGTTAAGAGACCGATTGTGCTGCAAAATGTGTTCGTTTCCCTCCTGGAAGAGAATGGGCGATCCCAACCGTTAACTGGACACAATGGCACTGAGGGGCTGATCATGCTACATGATACGACGGTTGCCGTCATGGAAAAGAAAAGGCAAGCCCGGTCGTGAACTAGACACGACGGTGTTGAGGGGCTGTTCATGCTGCATGAACTGGACATGACGGTGTTGAGGGACCGATCATGTTGCATAAAGCGGCAGTGACCATCCTACAAGAGAATGGACAAGCCCAATCATTAACTAGACACGATGGCACTGAGGGGTCAATCGTGCTGCATAATATGGTGGTTGCCATACATCCTAGAAAGGAATACGCAAGTTTGGCCATGAACTAGACACGACAGCGTTGAGGGGGCGTTCGTGCTGCATGATCTGGACACACTGACGCTGAGAGGCTAATGGTGCTGCATAAAGCGGCGGTTGCCATCCCGAAAGAAAATATGCAAACCCGATCATGAACTAGATACGACTCTGAGGGGCTGTTTGTGCTATATGAATTGGACCCGACGATGCTGAGAGGCCGACCATGCTGCATAAAGCGGCCGACGCCACCTTGGAAGGGAAGGGGCGAGCCCGATCGTGACCATCTATCCATTACCCCCCGAATCCCCTGATCGAGATGAAAACTCTCTTTCCCATATCTAGATCGAGGATATGGGAAAGAGAGTTTTCATCTCGGTATGAAATTCCACCATGGTTATCCTCGATCAGACCTGAAGATGGGAAATGGAGTTTCATTTCGATTAGTTGGTTATATGTGAATCTCATATTGACCACTAAGATCTCACATAGACAATCAGACATATGTTTACATGTGAATCTCATACTGACCACTAAGGTTTCATAATGCGTCATTTTTGGGCCTTCACTTACAGTTCTCTTCTATCATTAGTAAAAATTGTTAATCTTATTTTTGCTTTCATTTTTTGTGGTTAATTAACGTAACTAGCATAATTGATCTATATAGCCTTAGAATATTTAATTTGAGGTTTTAGAATATGTAATTTGATTTTAATTAAGAACTTAAAAAGTTAAAAATATATTCAGGACTTTTCATTCATTAAATTTTATGGAACTTTGGGAAATATCAATTTGTTAATTTGATTTAACAAAATTAAATGATTCAGTTACATTATAATATATATTTTTAATTGGAACATCTAATTATATATTCTAAATACAACAATTTGGTTATTTTTATTCTTAAGTACAAAAAGCAAAGGAAAAAGAATATTAATAGCTTTCATTGACGGAATATGAAAAACCTTTAGTTGGTGTCCAAAATGATACTTCGTAATGAACGTTGAATCAATGTTTATTTGATCCATTTAAAACATTGGTGTCCAATATAAGATACATATATAACCTTAATGTCTAATTTGATCCATTGAAACCTTAATGTCAAATAAAAATTAATATATATAATCATAGTGTCCAATTTGATTCTTATTTCAATTATAATTCGTAAACATGTTAAACTTTAGTGTGAAAATAGTCAATAATTAAGCATAAGTGTCACATTCAGAACAAAGTTGAGAGCACACGAGTATATAAAGTTAGTTTTTTGTCTACAATGTTGATAATTCTAATAAAATGTAAAAGGCTAGAAATGTGTACATTTTTGCGGTGAAGCGAATTCAGATAAAGGTAATCTTTGTGTATTCCACTAATTAAATTGAGCTTTGACATACACTTGGATCTGATTTAATAAAGGGGTTGTTTGAATTCCAGCGGTTTGTGCCCAATCCGCTGCTAATAGCAGCATTTTCCTTTGTAAAAAATGGTGTTTTGCTCCACCCACCATATCCAAACAACCCCAAAGACTCTCTTCACATGTCAAATAATTTGGTTCCTTTAATGTTGCATTTACAAAAAGAAATTGATTGAAATATGTTATTGCTACACATGTATGCTCTATAACAATCATTTCTTTATTTTCCCCTTTTCTTTTTCTTTGAGCAAACTATATTGATAAACTCATGTATGTACATAAGAAATATATAATTGGTATAAATATTTCGCATAAGAAAGTACAATGGGCATTTATCTAACCGCGCAACACACATGTAGAAAGAAGTCATATAGTTATGAAATGATATATAGTTATGAGGTACCACAAAGACTACTTTATAAAAAAGCTATAAGATCCCAATTTCTATCAAGAAATCTCACCAAAGAAAAAAGAAAATTAAAAGTGCTAATTAATAAGGGAACAATCAAGAAATAGGAAGACGTGATATATAATTCCTCAATTTCTGAAAATGATAGGATGAGATGTGGGTGTTTTTCAGGCTTCTTGGGGTGCAAAGTTCATTGCTTTGGTATCCACGCAGACGTGGCTAATATAATCCGACCTTTCCACCCCTGCAGCAACCAAGGGCCATCTTCATCAAACAAAATATCTTTGTGACATGTTTCCCTAGCCTGGGCTCTTAACTTCTTCACAAGTTGAGAGTTGAGAGGTAGGGGCTTGAATCCAGCCCTCATAGTGCGAAGTTGCCATAACTTGTATGTTTCAGGCCTGTCGAACCTTTCCCTTCCCTCACATGCTATAACATTTGCTATTGTAGGCCTCATCAATGTTTGTTCAAAATTCAACCTATGACTGTCATGGTGTGGAAAAATAGTTGCAAACATATCAAAGATAGCAGAGCCAAAATGGAGGGCCTCTCGAAATCGATTGATAAAGAAAGGAGAGGTGTGAGATGAACTCATCACAGAATGTACAAAAATTTGAGGGTTTACGTCCCGAATTAACTTTAAAACATCATCTCTGGGATTGTCCTCACCACATACTGTCTCATCTAATAAAAGTTTGAATCGATCAATACAATTAACAACAACAACCTCACCCCTCTCGAGCTTCAAGTCACCAATCTTAATTGTCTCCCAATTCGTCGCTGTTATGGCATTGTATTCAAATGGTACACCAAAACTCTCACAATATTTAGCCAAGCGACAACCAGTCTCTACTACCATTTGCGAGGAGTGAAAACCAGGTTGGGGATGTTCAATCCCTGTTATGCGAAGTTTTGGAGGGCCACCGGGTCTTTGCGAAAGATCCCGAATAAGAGTGGGCCATTGGATACCATAAAGAATGCCAAGATCTATAATGTGCAATGATTTTCCTCTTGATGCCACTTCGTAAATCATTTTGTTCGCAAAGAAGATAATTATCCTCATAAATGGCAAAGAGGATGACATGTGGGATTTTTGCAATTCAGAAACTATGAATTCATTGCGAAATGATGATAAAGGATAAATTTGAGTCCAAGTTCCAGCCATCCGTGCCTCAAGACCGTCAGCAAATGCATGTGCTAACCTTTGGTTTGCATCCCCATCAGGCGAAGAGTACTGCCTGATCTCCTTTAGTTGTTTTACAGCAGTGTTGTAATCAGCATCACCAACATTATTTGCGCAAGTGAGCAAAAGAGACACCACATTCACTTTTTTAGAAACATCTCCATCCTTTTTCGAACATCTATATTGACCATTTTTTCCTTTCGGTTTTCGTTTGCGGGCTCGAGATGGGGGGTAATCATCATTATCATCAGCACACAACAAAACCTTATCAAACACCTCTGATAACTCGACTTCCTCCCCATAAGCTGCACTTTCCTTCCAGCTCCTTTCCTCCTCCCCCTCACCTGGACGGTCGTGCTTCCTTCCCTTACAAGAACCAACTAAATGACCCCCCTTCTCTATACTCACAGTACTACCACTGATCAATTCATCAGTCATATTTGGATGCATTATGTATTTATCATCAAGATGGATAACCATCGGGTTAATGGCACGAAAGAATCTTCTAGATTCCTCCACGCCTCTTTCGAATTGCGAAATGGCCGTAATCTGATCATCAAAAAATAAATTTGGAACCACATTAGCTCTACCGCCAAATCTATGTAAAGAACTATTTAACCCATCTAAGTTAGCTTGTGGTGGTGAAGAAGAGTGCATGGAGAGATGAGGAGGATCACTTGTGCCACATGACATAGACTCTCCTGGATCAGCATCACAAGTGGAGCTCCCAACTAAGGTGTCTTCTCGGCCTTTGACTTTGTTATCAAAGGAGGGGTTCTCACCTAAGGCTTCATAGAAGTAATTCTCAGTAGCTCTTAGTGCAATAGGATCACATATTAACAAGTCATCAGTATTCTCATCAATGTCCTCGAGTAGTATCTTGTTAATGTAATTGATCGTGCAATCAGAGTCTGTCAAAAGACCGTTGTTAGGATGTAATTGTGTCATGGGTGAAAGGGCATCCTCGCTCTCAATCTGCAACCCGAGCCTCTTCAAAGAGTAGTACGCATGTGACGTTCCAAGCTGATGATCCATAGCTGCCTGTCTATGACATATGGAGGGAAAATGTGTAAACAAATAAACAACTGCATCAATTCAATAAAAACAAACTACTTAATCAATTACATCATTTTCTCCTAACTAGTGGTGTCATGATAGGCAATCAATGATTTTTTGTTTTCATTTGGGTCTTAGACGTTTCTAATTAAGTCGTTTTTTTATTAATTTTTATTGTTCTTTGACTAATTAACTATTGTTGATCCTGTATTAGTTTATTACGAAGTACTTTTCTTATTACTTTTTTCTTTGTGGACGTTTAACTCATAACGCTCATGTTTTAATTTAATTTGTCATTGTTTTTCACTAGTATTTGTTTCTCCTTTTTGACTGGTATTTTACTTTTTTTTTGCAGGGTTTACTTATTCTATCAACTAATTTTCTATGTTAATTGCCCTATTTTTACTGCTTTAGGTGTGTTTTTATTTGACCTCATTTCTAGTTAAAGAGCATTAGATAATACAGTTTTTGACCTAGGCATCTAACCTTCCAGACCATTCTTGACAATTTGCATGCATGTTTAATTAATACTACACCCGTTCTTAAATAAGTGCAATAAATTATATTTTACCCTATTTTATTTATTAATTTATTAATAAACTATTTTTAAAAAATTATTGTTAAATTTGTCTCATCGTAAATTTTCAAAATCTGAATATTTTTTAATTTTTACCAATAGAGAATTAAATATACTAATGGTCAAAATTGTGAACAGAGGAATCATTCATTATAGCTTTCTAGTTTTTAGCTTCGTCAGCGGTAGATCTATTACATAATTGTCGATATATAGCAAGGTCGGTTGTACATATATAAAATGATGAATACACGTATGCTTCCTTCTTTCTACTTTTAATCATTTATTTATATGGTTTAAGAGCACTAGCACAAGAATAACCCAAACCCGCATAACCCGCTCGTCCCAACCCTACCCGACCATTTTTAATTGGGTGTTTGATCAAAAACATATTCATGGGTTAAATATGTATGGGCCCACACCTAATGGGTAGGATTGCGGAATAAAAACCTCAATTTCGATAGTAGCTGACCTGGCCGATCGTTCATTTTGCAATTATTACGCTACAATATTTTATTGGACAATTTCTATTTAAGATCGATGTGCTCTATCTAAGACTTTATGATATTTTTGTAAAAAAAATACTTTAAGATATTGACATGGAATTATAAATATATTTACGTTTGATTCTAAATGCATGAACTTCCTTTACTCAAGGATGTATCGATACTATTACCCAAGGTTTATACATAAAAGATACTACCTCCGTCCCAGGGAGAAGTTCCCAATTTCCTTTTTTGGCAGTCCCATCAAAAAGTTCCCATTTCCTTAAATGGAAAGTTATCCTACATAAAAACAGTGCAAAACAGTGCCAAACAGTGTCGAAACAGTGCCAAACAGTGTCGAAACAGTGCCAAACAGTAAAATTTACCCCTCAGTAGCTTTATTTCCTTAATATGTGTGAAAGTCAACCCGGGAACTTCTCCCTGGGACGGAGGGAGTAATTTTTAACTTTTGTGTATTTTAGAAACAAGTTAATTGAGTTTAAAATTGGCTGCATTTTTTCCACATGAAAGATCCAACCTGAAGTGATTTTTTGCAGTAACCGACCCTACTCGACCCATTCATGTATGATTTACCAACTTATATTGTATACGACGGGTTGTTTAATAGTCAACATGAATAAATTGAGTAGGCCTAAAAAAGCATAGCGAACCCGACCCAACCCTCCCAATGTCCAACGTACCCTACTACGAAGTCCACTCTCAAATCAACACAACATGGCCAACGCTGTGAGAGGAATGAAATGCGACAGAAATTGAACAAATGGCCATTACGAAAGAGGGAAAGTGAATGATTAATCCTCATCATACTTTCTCCCATATAATGATTTTCTGGGACTAAACATTTGTGGTGTAGTCCTCAAAGGTGGAGGGAGTTATCGAGAATGGGTCACAACTACGTACTTTCTGTGTAATGCGGAAAGTAGGATTCGTCGACGGATGCATTGAATGACCATTGACGAGAATTGAAGGAAAAAAAAAAGTGATATTCAATTCCATCTATAATCTTTTATTCCTTTCATCTCTTAAAAGGTTGTAAGTAATATTGTCTTTCTTGATATATTGCAAATTTGAAATATTATATTGCAATATGTTAAATAATTAAGTGATTTTTTGTTGCAAATTTTAGTCGCGTTTCATTATTAACTAAAAAGATGATAAGTTCTAAATCTTCAATTTATTTTACAAGGGAGAAGGGCCAAAAGTGACACTAAGAAGTTCGGACATGACATTCAGTTTTTTGGTGGATCAAGTAAACACAATCTAAACCTTTTACCCTCATATCTAACCACCCACTAACTTCCCCGTTCAAACCATCCTTACCGGGACTCATGGGAGCTACTCAAGCGACTTTCCCAGGCAGCGGACAAACCATGGATTATTATGGGGGATTTCAATGACATCCTCTCTGAAACTGAGAGACGCGGCAGATTACCACAGCCTCCTTGGCTACTACGAGGCTTTAGGGATGTGGTTAATAGTAGCGGTTTGCTGGATGTACCCTTCAAAGGGTATCAATGGACATGGGAGAGGGGTCGAGGAACTCCGAACTGGATCGAGGAAAAATTGGACCGAATATTAACAAACGAGGATTGAATAAATCTGTTTGGTGGATATGAGGCAGCCTCTCTGGAAGACCCTTCTAGCAACCACCTAATGCTACATATCCGGTTGTACAAAACAAGTGACCGCAGAAGGAAAAGGGCATTCAAGTTTGAAAATATTTGGTTAAGGGATGAGGGATGTCGGGACGTTATCCAGAGGGCCTGGGCAAATTCTAGGAATTTGGTGGTCTGGCAGCGGATTCTTGGGTGTGGAGTGGAGCTAGAATTATGGAGCAAACACCACCGGGTGGGCTTCCAAATGAGGATTGAAGTTTGTAAAAGAAGATTAGCTATCCTACGGGAGGAAAGTGGACGTTGGAATGCAGCATAATTCCATAGAGTAAAAACAATTCTAGTCGATCTTCTTCAACGTCAGAATATCTTTTGGAAGAAACGGGCTAAAATGTTTTGGCTTCAAGACGGAGACAAAAATACAAGATTCTTTCATAACTCGGTGAAGCAACGTAGAAGACGGAACAAAATGAAGGGTCTATTGCTTCCAACGGGGGAATGGGAGAGAAATAAAAGTATTTTAGAGTCAATGATACATGACTTCTATGCTGATTTATTCCGCTCCAGTCATATGGAGGTGGAGGAAACCGATCTGGCAGGTTTAGCACGGATAGATGCAGCTCAGAATAGGGAGTTAGTTTGTCCTATCAGAGCCCTTGAGGTGAAGAAAGCAGTCTTTTCCATGCATCCAGACAAAGCACCGGGACCGGACGGATTAAATCCGGGCTTTTTTCAGCACTATTGGGATATTCTAGGCGAGGACATCATCAGGTATTGTCAAGATCTTTTTTCTAGTGGGATAATACCGAAGGAAGTTAATTAGCACTCATATTGTTTTGATCCCTAAAAAAGAAAGGCCTGAGACGTTAGGTGATTGGCGACCAATCGCGCTGTGTAATGTGCTTATTAAAATCTTTACAAAAGTCTTAGCCAATAGACTAAAGAGAGTGTTGAACCATCTTGTGTCTGCTAATCAAAGTGCTTTTATTCCGGGTCGTTCAATAGTAGATAATATTATGGTAGCCTTTGAAACTCTTCATTTTTTGAAACAAAAAGGCAAGGCAGGGATGGTTTTGTAGCTCTTAAACTTGACATGAGTAAAGCATATGACCGAGTTGAATGGGGATATTTAAGAAGAATTATGCAAAGCATGAACTTCGATCCCAAATGGATTAATTTGATTTTGGCATGTTGTTCCTCGGTGGAGTACTATATCCCCTTTGAAGGAGATATGATTGGGCCAATTACGCCGACAAGAGGACTTCGACAAGGGGATCCTTTATCGCCGTACCTATTCATTTTAATAGCAGAAGGTTTGAGTGCTTTAATTAGGCGGCAGGAAAGCATGGGTAATGTTTTGGGTATTGCAGTGGCTAGACGATACATGATACAATAGGACTAGCTGCCCATCACAATTGCCCTTGAGTTGAAATAGCTGCCAAAACTAACGTATGCTTGAAGTCAAAGACAAGAAGGATTCCATTACAACTAACCTATGTGTGTACCTGCTATTTAGAGTTGGTTTGCAACCACTTTTGAAAAAACACTTCTCACCTTTTGGCTTTAAAAAAGCACTTCTTTTACCAAACACTACAACTTTTATTTTTCTCGGCTTTCGTGTCAAAAGTGCTTTTACTTTTTCTATTACACAAAAAGTACTTATTTTACCAAACACTTTCAACTTTTACTTTTCAAAATCACTTTTTTCTCAAACACTATCAACTTTTATTTAATCACTTCTCCTCATTTCATTAAAAAAAGCACTTTTTTGAAAGCAGAAGCTGTTGCAAACAGACCCTTAGTATACAATTGAGTGGTATATTGTTATTTGAGTTTTTTTTTGGAAGATTATTTGAGTTAATTTAATTAATATTTATTTAAGTAATTTGGGGCTACCCTTTATTCATTAGTAAACCAGGCAGCCCAACATTTCCTTTCAATTTTTTAAAAACTCGGCCCACCCAATACAAGAAGCAGCTCAAAAGAAATTAGTCACAGGCGTAAAACTAACCGGGCGAAGAACACATACGTATCGTCTTCGTCGTTGGAGCGGCGACTTCCTCTTCCGACTGCAGGAGACGACGGAGAGCGGTGGGAATGGCCTGTTAGATGGTGGTTCGGCGACCTTCTTCTCCCGGAAAAGACAGGGACGTGGTCCTTCTTCCTCTGGCGACGATCCGTTCCACCCTCTCTGTCCTCTTTTTTTTTCTTCTTTTGTATCTTTTTTGTCACAGACCTCACTTTGGAGACTAAATTCTCCATTCTCGATCCAGTTTTTACGCAATTACGCATATAAGTCAAGATATATCATACGTAGTGACGTAGTGTATGCGTGTAAGACCATTTTTATTTACTACTCTGTATTTGTAGTCCACGTTCTTAAGTCAAATGAGACTAAAACTCTAAATCATTGGATTATACATTAATTTTCTACTCTATATGCTCTAAGGGTATTAATTAATAATGAAAATTTTGCAAAAAAAAAAAATTAATAATGAAAAGTTTCAATTTATAATAAAATTGCAAAAAAAAAATAAACATCATAAAAAAATAACAAACTAATAAAATATTTTTAAAATAAAAATTAAAAAGATTGCAAAAAAACATGAATCCCTTACCCACTGCCTCTACCGCCTCCCAGCACCACCGCCTCCGATCGGTGAACAGAATGTTACTCCCTCCGTCCCTAATAACTTTGCCAAGTTTGACCGGCAAGAGAATTAATAAAGTAAAAACTGTGTGGTTGAGGTTTGTGCAGAGGAGAGAGAATTAATTGGAATCACAATTTCTTTACTGAAAAGGGAAAGTGGCAAAGTAATGGGACATCCAAAAAAGGAAAGTTGACAAAGTTATAAGGGATAGAGGGAGTATTTTTATAAAACAAATGTCATTTTTTCTAAAAATGCCAAAAAACGACATTATTACTCTTTGGTATTGTCAAAATTTTAATTGGAACTGCCATCAATATGAAATTACTAATGCATGTTGACATTTTTTACTGGAGATTAGAGTTGGTGGTAGGGGTGGGGAAACAGGTACAGGAACCGCGGGTAGGGCCGAGTAATACAAGTTCGTGACGGGTTAGGACCGGGTCTTAATTGTAGAAACTGAACGGGACTAAAAATTTGAAAAAACGGGTACCCGAACAGAACCGTTTTAAAATATTATTTTAATACTCTATTATATTTAATACGGAGTATAATATACTAATAACACGCGAAAGCTCTTCATGTTCTTAGACACTCAATTAAAGAAACTTGTCAATCAATTTAAAAGAGTTTCCAAGTTCATATAAACTCCTAAATATTTTCCCCAATTCTTTATTCCAAATGCATCAAGTTTTCTTTCTTCATTTTGTTTTTTGTAAATAAAGCATGTTACTCAATGAAGTGTGCATATTATTCATTTAATAATCTTAATTTTTCTTATACTTTGAAATTTAATAAGCTTTACATAGTTTTCATAGACAAATGCGTAGAGTAAGGGTCTGTTTGCAACCCATTAAAAAAAGTGCTTTTAACTTTTTTTTAAGAAAAAAACACTTATTTAACCAAACACTATCAACTTTTACTTTCTCGGCTTCCGTGTAGAATCTACTTTTTACTTTTTCTATTACACAAAAAGCACTTATTTTACCAAACACTACCAACTTTTACTACTAATCACTTTTTCCCCAAAAGTGCTTTTATTTAAGCAGAAGTGGTTGCAAACAAAGCCTAAGTAGTTTAATTTCTTATCATTTTATAGTGCTATTTTTTTAGTTTATGAATGATGATTAACATATTTTAATTTAGGTGGTTTTGTCCTATTTAATTTGATGTTAGGTCCCTGTTTTCTAGTCTAGAATATGTATGTATGGAAGATAGATCTGGGAATGAAGCTTTCCATTGAATGATGAAGAAGTTTACAGAATGATATGAAAGTTAGCGTAAAACTTCTATCACCGATATAGGCACTGCGGCACAGAGAATGTCGAAAAGCTTAATCTAGCCTTTCCCTTAAGGCATATATATAGCCTGACGGGAAAGGTAGGTTTTACAATCATTTGGGCTCCTTTTTCTAGGAGGCCCATACCTAAAAAGGTATAAAACCTTTTATTACAAATTGCCATAAAAGGCCTATTCATTATTCTAGCTAGTCTATTTATTTATATAAGCTAAATACAAAGAGCTAAGAAACATTGATCACAATATAATGAAAATATCTCTAACAATCTCCCCCTTTGTGATCAGATGTTCTTGCTTCTTCTATTCTTCACTTCTGAGTTTTAAAATAATGCTTTCTGAGATTGAGTGCATGCTCGTAATTTCTGAGTGACCTTCTTCTGTCAAGTTGTTTCTTGATGGCTTTCAACACTTTGTCAATTCTGGTTGCCTCTGTTAGTTCATCGTCTGTGGCATCTGCATGCTTCTGTTGTTTTTCTTCAAATTCTTTTCTGATAGGTTGCAGTTTTTCTTTAATGATCTTCAGCGTTCCATCACAGTATTTGTTGATTTCTTCTGCCAACAACAAACGCCTCTCACCTTTGTGATTCAGGTAGATGATAGCTAACGGGCGATCAAAGGTGTAATATGCTGGAAAGTTCTCAAGCTCTGGCCCGTAAAGCTTTGGTCTCGAGAGGTTTGTCTTTGGCAGATTGGTTTCTACGGCCATCTGAAGATCATGTGAAGCAAAGAATTTGGCTTGTCTGATCATGAAGCGCTTGAGTGCCTTGAATCCCTCTTGTGTAGATTTGTCCCAGGTGACTGGAATTTCCTGGAAGGCTAGATACATATGATAGATGTCATCCATCTTTAACATATAAAGGTCATTTTCCTTGCAGGTAAATTCAGTCCCGTCGGAGCGTTGCAGGCGGTAAACAGAGAGTGGGATGTCTTGATGATTTATTTCGGCTACATTTAGTATACTCCATACTGGGTCTTTTGCTGTTTGTAGTTCATGTTGCCATACTTCTCTCTGTTTCCCCATGTAATGATGACTAAGCAGAAACAGTTGTCCGCCTTTGTTCTTTCCTAGCATCGAGGTACGGCAGACTGCCAATGAAGACCTACGACAGAACATGATGCTATGGTGGCTAGGAGGGAAAAGCCCTATAATACAGCAGGTCATTCGACAGGCTATGCCAGGAATTCTACTGTGGAATGTTTGGAAAGCTTTCAACGCGTGTGTGTGGGACAATAAAACTTTTTCAACAAATGCAACAATCACAACAATAAAGGAATACACTAGGGACTGGATTTACTCTAATGCTCACAAAAAAGGTTTTCATTTTGATTCAGACCTACACACGGATGGCTTAGTACCATACATCAAAACCAAATCAAGCTACTCGATGAAACAGATTAGATGGCACATGGGAGAAACTGGAAACCTTACTCTCAACACAGATGCATCAGTCAACGGAAGAAGGTCAGCAGGTGGAGGAATCCTTCGTGACAACACTGGAAACCTGGTACAAGCCACAGCTTTTCGCACGGCAGCTACAAACCCCCTCCATGCTGAGTTGGTCTCCATACGAACCTCGATGCAGATCATGATAGAACTTGGTTACAAACAATTCAACACACAAACAGATTCAGAGGTAGGGGCGAAAATGATAAAGGGGTCGTTGACAATACCTGAATATTTGAGAGGAGAGGTTAACAACATTAATGAATTGAGGAGAACCAATCTCATCCAAATCGCTCATCGTCCCCGTCAGGCGAACTATGTAGCTCACTTCCTCGCAAAACACGGACTCGAAATCCAGGGCTATGAACCGATCTATTTCACAGCGTCCAACCTACCCACACAAGCGAAAAAAGCTTATCTTGAAGATAAACGGGGGGCTGTTTATTTCAGAGATACAGGCTGATATCACTTGCCCCACGGAGATGAGAAATGAAGCTGAATCGGAAGAATACCCTCAAGTTGATACCGCTAAAGAATGTCTGCGGCGCAAACCCTACCGAAAGACAGACATTCCTTTGACGGATTGTCTATTGATCAGACTGGGTCACCCCTATTTTTGGCCTCTTCTCTTGGGCCAAATAATAACTCTCTTTGCTGGGCCCTATTTCTGGCTTTTAGCGTTCGGTTGATCTCTTTTTAGCTGCTTAGGTTCTCTTATTTTCTCCTTTCCGTTTGCATAACTGTTGTAACCTCCATCTTCATGAATAAAAATTCTATTTGGAATAAATAAAAAAAAAAGATTGAGTCCACAGATTTTCAATTCGTCCAATTCCTTGACTTCGTCATCTTTCCGCCATATACGCTTTCTGATTTCCTCTTGGAAAGGAGCATTGATGTTAATATTCTCCCAAGGTTTTTCACTCCTGGGCATTCGAGCCGCTGTTTGTCTGATGATGGATTCCAGCTCCTTGGGAGGTTCCTGATAGTTTTCTCCTTCCTTGAGTTCATCATCATTAAGCCGTATCACATCAGCAGCAAATTTAGCTAGGAGCTCTCTGAGATAGGCTCTTCGCTGTATTTCATCCACATTCGTCCATAGCCGAGACCACTTGTTGTGAACAAGAATTTCTTCAAGTTCGTCATGCATTCGATTATCAGGTTGGCTAGAGGGAGTCTGCTGCTGCTGTGGCGCTCTGTCAATAGTAACTCCAGGATCACTAGGATTACCCGTTGACATCAGATTAGAACTAGGTTCTTTCTGATGGCCTGAATAGAAAGGTGTACTCGAAGTAGCAACCTCAGGACTTCCACTCCATCCTTGGTCTACATCTATGAAAGATGAGCCTAGGAGTGTTGTTTCTAGCTTGACCGGGCTAGATGTGGGTGGATTGGCTGATTGGCTTTTGTGTTGAGTGGATGGTGGGGGCTGATTGTTCGAGGATTCAGGTTGGTTGGATTGCGTAGAAGGTTGGCTTGTTGACGCATCACGCTCAAGTATCCTTTGCCTCTTGTTCTCCCCCTCATGAGGATCCGAGTCATCGGGGTCCTCATGCGAACGTTTGTGACCAAGGAAACTATCACGGCATGAGCTGTCAGGCTTAAGGATCCGAAGAAGGTCTTTTTGTTTCTGGGTTAGGTTGCCTTCTTCGGTGGCTAGTAGTTGATCTAGCATAAGGTTCTCGAGTACCTCGAACGGTAAAGTTTTAGGGTCAGAAAAAGGTGTGGTCGAAGTAGGGGAGGACACTAGTTCTGTATCCTGGGTTCCCCTTGAAGCAGTAGGTGAGTGGGGTAGGGTTGTGGATGGTTCAGAGGTTTGTTGGGTAGGTATGATAGGAAGTGGTTGGGTTTGTTGGGTATGTGAGGATGATGGTTGGGTTTGGATGATGTCATTAAGCAACGTCGGGGCGTTCC